AGTTAATCATGGATTGACAAATAGGAGTTTAAACTTCAGAGCACATCCAATCGTTTATACCTGCTACCAGTCAACATAAGCATGCTCTGTGTTTCCTAACCACTCACTGCATAGTGAAGAAAAGCCTTATTATTGGCTGCTGAAAAGGAACTAGGTTTATTCCATAGCTGACTTGCTTGAGGGCTGGACTCCCACTCGCCAGCCCCCTGTTACTACAGTTTTAATCATGTTCTTTGAAAATGTGTGTATATGTCCTTATCAGCCCAGTGGTATTGGTCTGAGAGTGATAAGCTGATGTTTTGAAGCACATGATCGTATGCCCAAGACATTCCATTTAATTCAGGCAGAAAATTAAATCCTGGCCTGAGAGCATCTTATATGCAAATCCTAAATATAGGGAAAACAACAATTACTATTAAAACTAATAACAACACCACATACCAAAGCCCCTGCCAGTCATTGTTTTCTGATAGCAAGAAGCACAGTCTTCACGGGGTCCCTTTTATGATGTAGCATGGGATGTTTTCAGTAGCTCTAGCTTAGTCTGTGATAATGGCATCTTCCTGTGGAGTTTGGGATTTCTTTCCTTCATTTTAGTTCTGAAAAACAGACTGTCCCCAAATCACCTTTACAGACTTTAACTTTAGGCTTACTGCCTCATCCAACTCTTTTCTTTGCATATCTCTCCCCCTTCCCACCAAGTGAAGAGATGTGGAAGGACTCCTGGCCCAGGCCATTAGCCAAGCAAGAATAAAGACTGAAAGGACTGATAGGAAATTCCACGTGGGGAAATACCAGCAATTATAAATGACTGTATCATAAGAAGCCCCAATAAATGTGTTTTTTTTTTGACAACTCACTTCTCTCTTGTGAAGGGTCACAATCTGTTATTCCTTTTCCCTACCTTAGAGGTAGACATAGAAATAGATAGCTAGACAGAAAGACAAAATCCATTGAGCACTTATTCCATTAGCCATTGTGCTAAGTGCCAGAGATACAAATATAAGCAATCAAGACATTCCCTACCCTCAAAGAGTTTACATTCTAATGGGATAAAAGATAACAAGTATGAGAATGTGGGAAGGTGGTTAAAGGAGAGTTGTATCTGAATAAGGGAAATGTCAAGGAACCTGCAAGAAGTGGTACACAGGAGTGAAAAAGCTGACCTACCTGATCCAGAAGATTCAGGGATAGAATCTAAAACTTCAGTGAGGCGAAGCTGGATCAGAGAACAGTGATATTATGGAGAGACAGAAAGGGCTATCTTTTACCATCTTCTCTGTCATTCTAATATATTCTTGCTTTGCTTAATATCTAAGACATATTCCTTGTACTCTATCTATAGCTCAAATTTAAGAATGAATGTTCCCCATGTATCCTCCCTGAGACTTAAAACCACTTTGACTACATTTTAATATAATGAGAACCATTTGTTGTAATGAAAACCAGTTTTTACTTATATTATCTTTTTGTCTCAAATACTACTTTTAGAACTGCTTATGAAGAGTTGACCACAGTTGTAACTACTCAATAGGGACAACTTTAATTTATTAACTAAAGTCTTCCAAATTAAATGAAAGTAATTAACTATAATCTTTTTTTTCCCATCTTCCCTACTTCCTTATACAATGTGCTATAGTTGCATTCTCCACCTTATCCCCTGTTTCCTTCTTCTGCTTCTCTGGTCAGCTGTTTAAATTCTTAACTACATTCCTTTTCCAAAATCTGTTAAAGCATTAGCTTCCTTTCATACTTGGCAAAAATTGTTATCATTATTATTATTGTTGTTGTTGTGGCTGGTCCTTCCTGCTTGCTTTTACAGACTTTGACTGTCACTCAGAAGATAAGGTCTAGAAAGGCAAATTAATGATCATTGACTTGATCATCCTAAATGTGCAGTTGTTCACACAGGAAGTTCTCAGTATATCTTTACCTATTCTATTTATTTCTTCTTCACCTAAAGACACAAATCCATTTTCTTCTGAGATTGATTTTATTTCTATTATAGTATAGAAACATATAGATTTAAAGAACCATGTCCATTCAATAAACATCATTTGGCTATTTTTTTCATAAAATATTATCAATAAAGTAAATATCTTGGTTATTATTAATTCAACTTGAGAGCAATCAGAGAACATTAGTTTATTCCTTCCCCATCTCCCAATAACACTAATGATAAAATCTATTCAAATACTAAACTTGAAAACAAAGGAGTATATTTAAATATTTTCATTCTGGCTATAGGATAGCAGATATAAAGTTTTCTTTCATCCAGTTATATGAAGATTTAAATCCCTTCCCTCCTCCCATTTTGGACCTTTCCTTACCCTAGGGTAATATCAAAATGAATGGTATTATGGACTGCTAGAACTGAGCATGATTTTTTTTAAAATAGCTACTCCAATGTCTCCTCCATTAGCTTCTCAAAATGCTCCTCCAATGTTAAAGAACTGACATTAATAAAAAGTTGTTGAACTCACATTAAAAATTGATAAATTGAAACTTAAAAGAAACAAACATGTTATTGCCAAGAAATAATAGATTTTTGATATAGATGGTGAAAATAGAACACAGAAAACAGTTTATTCATCTTAATTCCAACAATTAGAGAAGAAAAAAGCAGGGGAATGTTTCATAATTCAACAATATTAAAATCAATATACTCCTTTTCTATCTCCTTAATGGATAGCAATAAAGGAAGCAATAGTTCTTGTCAGATGCAAGGAACAATGGCTTTCTAATCCTTAAATCCAAAAATAGTTCCCTTTCAAAGTGAAATCAACGTTAATGAATAGAACTTTGATGAACAGGCCTGTTTGTAGATGCTTTGGAAAAGTTTCCCCAAAGCAAGACTAAGGTAAGGCGGAGGTGGTTGTGAGGAGTGCCTACATGTATGTATTTGTGTTCAGCACTGAATTTTGTCTACAGTGACAAGGAAAATATTTAAGTAACACTGTGACTACATCTGCCCAAGCAAAGTGAAGTGGACAACTCAGGCTATTATCCATAAAATCAGGGTCAAAAGAACTGTTATGAGGATATAAGTATCTTTTCGGATAGAATTGCATATTGAGACTGTCAACATTTTCTCAATGCACTAGTAACATCTCCAGTCTACTTTGCCTGTCTTTACATCTAACCCCAGTGTGTTCTCTCTTTAAAGATTTATTTATAAATTCAATTAACTAATTAGGAATTTCTCAACAGAAAAATGATTACACGTATCCACTGAGTCAACAGTTAAATTTGTTCAGTATTTCACAAATTAAGTCCTTTGCCTCTAAAAAACTTGCATATGACATTGGATTGAACTGCATAAACTGGGAAGTAAAAAAAAATAAAGTGGCAAAGTCAGAGCAATTTTATCAGAAAAAAAGAGATATTTATTTAAGGGTAAACTATACCTTTTGCCTTTGCTATGAATTAAAAGTTTTATTTGTCTGATATTATGGATAATACGTTGAAAGGAAGGCCAATGTTTTTGACTACTGAGCATTCAGATTGTTCTTTCAGGAAGCCACTGGGGATGATTTTTCTCCATACTTCTAATATTATTGATACTTGATGAATAGTATGAAGTTAAATATCTGGGTTGGTATCATTGTTCTTTAATTCCTCATAATTATCACCATAACTCATCAAATATCTCTTTTTTTAAGTGAACTCTAAGAGATGAGACTTTTATCTGAAAAAAAAATGTTTAATCTGTACTATTTCTGAGTTTAGGAAGCAGCATGCTTAATGTAGATAATAAACTCAGATCAGAATACTTTAATAAGGATAGAGATACAAAATCATTTGATGTACTATTTTGTTTCTTACAAGGAAAAAAATTCAGGTGCCTTATGTGCTGTGAATGACAACAATTTGTCCTGTTAAGGTGCCCAAATCACTGAACAACATTCCATTTTAGCAATGATGAAAGTGCAGTGTGTAAAAGTACACTTTCCACTGCAGAATGGTCATACTCTTGGGTAAAATGGACACTTATTAAAAGCCAAAATTGTATTATATAAAAAATGGTTTAAAATCTTGATAGCAAACATTCACTTATTTTTTTTCTTGAGCCATCCAATAGAAATCTCTATTCATTTTACTATGCTTCCAAAATGACATGAGAGTTTTACTGAAAGACAAACTGTTTTCCTTGAGGGAAAAGATGAGTAGGAAGTGGCATTTACGTATGTATGCATATGTATATATGTATGAGTGTCTGTATATCATCTTTATTGATGATACACTCTAATATACCATGAAAAATAACTGAAATCCTTTTTTTTCAATTACAGGACAATCAGATTATTATAACATTAACTAATAATATGATCATCCTGAATGTGCTCAATGAATTGATTTGAAAAATTCCTCTTGCAACTGATTCAATAAGGCACATACAACTAGTGGCCAACCTTACATGTTCCTTGCTTTATGCCCAAACAGGAAATGTTTTTTTTTCCTTACAGTTTAAATAAACTAGACTAAACAAGCCCCTACAATACTTATATCACAGACAATAAGTAAGATTAAGTCATAAGAATTATATATATATATATATATATATATATATATATATATATATATATATATATATATATGAGAAAGGAGAAAGGGAGAAGTAAGTAAAGGAGCAGTACTCAAATGAATAATAAAAGTGTAACAGGTCTCTGAAAAAAAACTTTTTTATAATCAAGAATCATTAAGAACATTTTTATATCAGCCATGCATGTTCGGCAACTATACCAACAGATATTTATTTTCAAAGGTAACTGTGGACACATTAAAAGAAGATTGAGTAGCACTTTACTTTAAAAACTAAAATGATTAGGCTGAGAGATAGACTAAGTCAAATTCCTAAGTAATCTGATCTCATTAAAATATCCACATTTGGAAACGTGTAACATATTTGCCCATAAAATGCTCATCACTGAACCCAGAATGGTCAATCAAAGCCATGAAAAAACGGGGAATAGGCTAAGGTTTCTCCCACTTGTACTCACCAAGTCCCCAAACGCAGAATCAGCAACAGGAGCAGGAACCTCACCCCGCCGCAGTGACTCCATAGGTATAAAGGAAAAAGAAAAGGACTTTTCCAAGAATCCATTGAGTTTGTTCTTCTCATTTTGAGGGAGCTAGTTTAAATCCCCGAACAGAATACTTATTCTGCCATCTCAGCAGTACCCTCGTGAGAAAGGGAGAGTGTGAGACGTAAAAACGCCCCCTAAACAGGTAGCATCAGATGCTTCATAGGACTGGAGCCAGCGTGGCCAATAAGATCAGCAAAACCTTGGCATAAATTAGCTTAAAAAGTGTTGGGCGAATCAGGGGCTCCGAGGGGTGGGGCTTCGTTTACTAGAAAGGGAGACGAGTCTGGGTGTCTGGAATAGATTGGGTCTTAAGGAAAAGAAAAACAAAGCCCCTTCTGGTTCAGATCTAGAGAGCCAAGTTGGTTGGGGTTCGATCAATATCCCTGTCCCAGAGAAAGAGACATCCCACTACCCCCTTTCCTCAACCTTTCCACTGACTCCGCGTCCCCAGACAACCCAGCTCGACTTCAGGGCTGGCTGATTTTCTTCCCCAACTCATCTTGCATTCAGAATTTCTCTTCAGGATGAAACCCATGTGATCTAGCTGGGCAGAGGAAGACCAAGCCGATCTTAACCTTCCCCAGGCACAACTGAATAACTAGGGCACCTGAGAGCACCATGGGATGGTTGGTATGCAACCTGTGTTGATTAGCTTTTGTAGCTGTCACCTTACTGCCTATAGAGGGAGAGGACCTGCAGGCACCATCCGCCTCAGGAGGATCGCAATGACACCAGGCACCAGGCATGAAAGGGTCTGAAAAAAAAAAATTTAAAAAAAAAAGAAACCCGAAAATGGTAAAAATTCTCTCTTCCCCTGAAACACAGCAGTCAAATGCCGCTCTCATCCCTTCCCTTCCACCCACCCTCTTAGCTCCTGGTCTGTTTTCTTCTGCACAGACAGTAATAGTTCCCGCTCTCTCTTAACCCCTCAAGCTTGTTTTCTTTTTGCATTTTTTTTAACTGGGGTGGCTAATACCTAACTTCAGAGGTATAGCCTGAGTTTTGTTTGCAGCCGAACCGTGGGTTGCCATGAGAACGAGCAAGCCTTGTGGCAGCAGCTGGAACAACTGTATGGGTTCAGACTGACTGTGGTTGGTGCTAGCGTTTACAGGCGTTCTTTCTATCCCTGTGCTTTTGCTTAAATCCCCACATCCAGACATCTCTGCACGGGGCTGGGCTGGCTGGCTGTGTCATTAATCATACCACAACCACCTGGAATTGGCCCTGTCCCTGGCTGAATCGCATTAACAAACTGGGCTCACGGAGACTATGGAAGTCAGGAGTCTCAGTGGGTGTGTGTAAGAGATAATGTGACTGTTTCCATCCCACCATCTAAGTACCCAAAATGAAGGGGGACGGTGTAATGATTAGGTTGCAGGTCTACATTTTCTACCACAGTTGACCAATTTCAAGTCTCAAATTCTTGCTCTTAATAATTGGTGCTGCATTGCTGTGTTTATATGTGTGCGTGTATGTTTTCCTGATCATTGATTCTCCATTCAGTTCAGGTCTTCTAAAATATGCTGTTTTTCTTTTCGCTACCTTTTATTACTCTAATCTGTGAGATATGTTAAAATATCATCTGTGCTAAAGAATTTAAACAAAAAATTCATTCTAATAGATTCTGAGGGATCTGAGTTAACTAAGACTGATTAGTTAACTAAGGAGAAAGACTGATGCAGTTGAAAATGTATTTTGAACAAATATTTGAGAATTTTATTTGAAGCATATAACTAATACACTGATCCTATTATCTAGTTCTTTCTGCCATAATTCAGTAGAAATGCAACATTGTGACTAGAAAATACTCTTGCCAGGTTTCACTAGCATGTTTTGCCAAAACAAGATAAGGGTATTTTATGTTAATATGAATATAATCATAAAATCAATGGGTCATGATTTTATTATCATTTATTCTTTGGATATTATTTGACCATTCATCTGTTAAGCCTTTTAAGATATGGACTTAAAGAAAATTGTAGAACAAGAAGAAGTACAGGAATTATATCCCCATGGTTACAAATTATGTGTCTCTTGAAGCATCAGACACAAGATTTCCAATAAGAAGATGGCTCACCCTCTTCACAGACTGTTGCCCCTGGGTTTATATTTCAGATAACAATGTCAGTTTCTTGCTCCATAGTCCCTTCCTTTTACACAATGCCTTTTTTTTTGGACCTTTTAAACTGTATTCCTTCATTCAACTCTTCCCTTAAAACATAACTCTTCTGGGAAGCAGATTGCCTCCCACTGTCATGTTAATAAAGATTTCCCTGGAAAGTATGTGATGGCAGTGTCAGCACTGCAGGACCAAAGGAATGGTATTTTTTCAATACCATCCATGTCTTGACATCTTGACTGCCTGCCTTATTTGATCTATAAACTTGCTAAAGGAGAATTAACCATAATCTATGTTTTGCATGGGTCCCAGAGTTCTTCTGGTTCTCACTAAGGAATCAGAGTACTCCCTTAATTGAGAAACTAAGAGGTTTGTTCCTTACCTGAAGGCGGAATACCATACTGTGCTGAAGATGATACTAGGAGAAAGCTGCTTCACCTTCTGCTCTGGATAAAGTGGGGAAATACTCTGACTCCATACACACCGCTCACCTCCTTCTGCCACCATGTAAACCACTCTTCTCAGTCTCCCCTTTCTGGCCAGGCCACCCCAGTGGCAGAGGCTTTAACATCAGTAATTATAAGGGCCAAAATTATGACAACTGTGATTAGATATTTTCTCCTGCGCTATAACATACTGAGTTGTTCTGTGGACAATATATCCTCAGCATGGCTCAGATGACAGCTTTGCAATATGTTTGAGCCATGGCTTTGGTGTATGTTTGGCTTCTCTAGGCTTTTGCCTTTCCAAATGCTCTTGGCCACAACACAAGTAGCTATTTACCTGATGTTCATTCCTAGTGGAAACATTCCTTCTGGGCCAGTGCTTAGCAGAGAACCTTGAACATAGTAAGTTTTTAATATATGATGTTTATGGAATTGAATTGTTGAGTTGAAAATGGGTTAAATCAGAATTAAGCAAAGAAATGTCATTAAGGATTTCTTTTTGAGCATCCACACAATTAAGTTTGGTAGAGACTGATCTAGAGAGGACCAAACTTTGCTAAAATCGTGTTATGGATAGTTTATGTTTTGAGCTTATCTACAATACAATCTCTCATCATGAGTTTTGATAATTCACTGCCCTCATGCTGACCAAGATCGGCCTAGAGTATGTCATTCTGAGACCCCATTTATGCTTGCTGTTCACATGTAGTATCTCATACTCACAACCACTCAACCGTATACCATCACAATTTAACTGCCATGTATCCTATCACTTAAATGTCATGTATCCCTAAGACCAAACTTCTGAAGAGATGGCTGCATCCATTTGTAATTTCAGTGGCATTTCTCATAAGTCCTTTCAGGTTTCTTTCAAATAATCTGTATCCTAATCACTTTTTTTAAGATATTTTTTTTTCCAAATTACATGTAAAATAGTTCTTAACATTTGATTTAAAAAAAAAATTTTGAGTTCCAATATTTGTTTTACCCCTCCATGCATCCCTCCCCTCATTGAGAAGGCAAGTAATTTGATGTAGGTTATACGTGTTCAGCCATGCAAAACAAATTTCTGCATTAGTCACATTAGTCTTGCCTGCTCAACTGCACTAGGGTTCAGGATCTCCCACTGGTTTGCTGAGGTGGGGTTTACTGCTGGCTTGCTAGGATGCCCCCTGTCCTGGAATGAGATCCCTTTTTTACCCAAGTGAGATGGACCTTTCTTGCTGATCCTCCATGTCTCCTAGGCTAAAAGATTACTCCACCCCATCTTTCTGCTGGTTCTGCTGTATGTTCCAGGATTTGTTCTGGGGTGCCATTTTATGGTTGGCTGGTTGTTTGGAGGTGAATATGGGAGAGCTACAATGATTTACTGCTTACTCTGCCATCTTGGCTCCTGAAAGTAGGATGTTTTATTATTTCTTGGTCTCTTATAATTTCAGTGGCTTCCCCTTGCCCAATTCTCATTTCATTTTTAGGTTTTGAATAGCATTTTATTCCATTAATATTTAAAAGTACCTTGGCATAAACCATGATTTTGTTGCTTGTTATGAGCCACAAGATCTTTTTTCTTGTTTAAAACATTTAAGATTACTGAAATGTGATTATTCTCAAAAATAATTTTATTGTGAATTTAACAAATACCATACAAAAAAGAGAACATTTCCATATACAAAATAGAAGAGTAAGACATGACATATAATCTAAATTATATACAGCTTGCTTTTAAAAAAAAAGTATATCATAAATTCAATATGTTACTTTCAAAACTGTCCTGCTTCTCTGTATTTCCCTCTAAACTCCCTTCTGCACATTTTAAAAAGATTTTTCAAAAATCTTTTTTTCTTTTTCTTTTTCAACAACATTATTGTTAGCTTTCTCTTCCCACCTAAAATTTGCTTCTCCTACCCCATAAAAAAGGAAAAGCACAAATCTTTGTAAGAAATAAACATAATCAAAAAAATAAATCCATATAATTTGTCATGTCCAAAACTGTATCTCTCAGAGAGAAATTGTTAATTCATCACTGATACAGTTGGCCGTGGTTTGACACCTCCCTGTAATTCCTGCTCCTATAAAACTCTCCTTGAAAAGGCTGAAACTGTTGAATTGCTTGAGCTCAGGAGTTCTAAGCTAGATAGGACAAAGCTGATTAGATGTCCACCCTAAGTATGACATCAATATGGTGAGTGTGTGGGAGTAGAGAGAGAGGAAACCTCCAGTTTGCCTAAAGAGGGTGGAACAGCCCAGGGTAGAAATGGAAGTGGTTTTCAAAATCTCCCATAATGAGCAGTAGTACTATTGGGCCTGTGAAAGGTCCCTGCATTTCCAGCCTATGAGAGATAGGGAGATCAATTCTCAGGAGAAAAAAATGTCATAGACATTAATTTTTCATACTTCTAAACCCTCTTCCTAAATGAAGCTGAGGAATCAAAGCTATAGAAATATTGCACAGGCTTAATAAAAAAGGAGGGAGGGGAATGGTCATTTACTAACCCTGTTGTAGATTAATTTTTAATAAAATGTCATTGATGGTTTTGGTTGTTTACATTATATACATTTATAAGTCTTTGTT